GAGAAAAGGCGCGGGGGGGGGGGGGGGTCCGAGAAGCAGCCCTGTGCGATGCCAAGCCCGGAGGAGGGGGCCTTCAGGTGGAAGACAGGTGAGTATTGAGCCCGGAGGGGGCTGTCATTCCGGGACATCCAGGGTCTCAAAGTGGCTTCTTGGGTGCAAAAGCGGTTCCCCCTTGGAAGGGGAGGGAGGATGGACAGTGGGGCAGGCAGGCAGGGAGGGCACACCGGCCCTGGACCGTGGCGTCGGAAGAGGTCCCCGGGAGGCCATCCAGCCCTGCCCCGTGGAGGGCAGAGATGCCCTCCGCTCAGTGCCAGGATCCGACGCGTAGGAGCCCTGCCAGAGAAATGCATCAGCACCTGCTGGGTTCCAGCGGATCATTGCATATGGGGCAGAGTGAGGAGGGAGGGAGGGAGGGAGGGGGGAAAGTCTGGCAGATGTGTGTGCAATATTAGGGATCGGAATCCACTTCCGCAGACTGGCATCCTCAGAGGAGAGCCGAGCGGATAAATAAAGGCGTTAACCCCCAAGAGTCTTGCCACCAAGGAGACCCCGGTGCCTGACGTGACCTGGGTCTCTAGGACGGCGGCTGGTTCAGTCCATGCCATGTCCCAGGAAAATGGCCCCGCAGAGTAGTGCAGAGTTTGGCGTTTTTGGTTAAATTCCCTTTTTCTCTTCTTCTTTGGCTAAGCAGTAGAAATAGAGAGGAGAATAGCTACAAGTTCTCCAGATAGTCCACCCCTTTCTCATTAACTGGCGCTTAAAGTCTCAATAACGCTGAGACATTTGTAGAAGAAAGGAAGGGGGAGAATCTCTACTTGAAATTACGGACTCGAGTAAAGCTGCTTTCTTTACTGCAAACATGCTTAGCCACCAACCGAACAGATCAACAACAGACAAGCAACTGCCACGAATCCAGGAGAGAGAAAGAAAAACGCTCAGAAAGAGGCGGGGGCTCTCTGAATTTCAGAAGCTGAAAGGAAGGATTGATTAATGCTGGATAGAGAGACCATCTCTCCCCCCCCCCCTGCAGCCCCAGGCCAGAAAAACCCCTGCCCGTCCCACGACAGCGCATAA